ATTTCTTCAGCCTCGGAGTAATCAGGGTATTAATGAACTTGATCCACATTATATTTACTTTGAACTACTTCAAGCAATTCTTCAATGTTGGTCTGTGCTCTCTCATACGGACACCATTTGTGTTTCACGTTGGTGTCGCTTTCTCCCTTAAAGTTGCTTAATCAAGTTAAGATCAAGACAGTTTCTAAACTATGTTTCTTAGCAGCCCATCTCCCAACTACATTTAAAGGCCTTCTTAACTCCATTCCTCCCTCCCCATCCCCACATTCCATTCCATGCTACCTCAGATCCATATGCCACCACCATGTTTCCCATCTATCCAGCATTATTTCTAATTCATATGCATTATCATCAGTTGTCAGGAACAACCATAGCAATGGGAGTTGTTTTAAAACCATTAGTAAAAGATTAAAGCTCAAACAGTCTAATAAAGCCCTGAATTCAAACACATTATCGTTGATACTAGGGAAAAGAAACTCCATTATAAAAGAAATGTAATCCTCTAAATGCCGATTTAGGTTTGTTTAAAGAAAATCTAAAGCATATTCTGCTATTAAATACTCTTAAATTCCAATAGTTTTTAGATCAGTAGACCACCTGGTCAACTGAAGCCTTTTTGTGGCTCTTAAAACTCAGCCAAGCATTTGTAAGTTCTGAGGTTGCCATTATATAGCCTCCTAGCGATATTTCCTGACATTGGCCACATTTGAAATATTGCATACAGTTCTGGTCACCACACTACCAGTAGGATATGGATGCTTTAGAGAGGGCACAGAAAAGGTTTGCAACGATGTTGCCTGGTATGGGGAATTTTAGCTATGAAGAAAGGTTGGCTAGACTGAGTTTGTTTTCGCTGGAATGCAGGAGGTTGAGGGGCGACCTGATAGAAGTTTATAAGATTGTGAATCGCACAGATAGAGTGAAAAGTATGAGGCTTTTTCCCAGGTTAGAGGGGTCAACTACTACTGGACAACCAGGTTCAAGGTGCGAAGTGGGGGGGTGGGTGGTGGGTAGTTTAAAAGAGATGTGTGAGGCAATTTTTTCATACAAAGTGGGGTGAGTGCCTGGAACGCACTGCCAGAGGACGTGGTGGAAGGAAACACAATAGCAGCATTCAAGAAGCACCTGGGCGAATACATGATTAGGAACGGAATAGCGGAATATAGATATTGAAAGTGAAGACAGTTTTAGTATGGAAGGACAACATGTGGTCGCGCAGGCTTGGAGGACCGAAGGGCCTGTTCCTGTGTTGTATTGTTCTTTGTTACCATAGTCTGGGACTGTAACTATCCTGTTGATGTCAATCTCAACATCAGTAAATCAAATGAGCAAGATGTCTGTAAAAAATTTACAGTGAAGAGAAAGGAACCAAAAGTATGGTGATAAAGATCACTCTTACATTTAAATTGTACAATGTTAGTCAATCTAAGGATCAGCTTACCTTTGAAGGACAGATCACGGTAACACTACATTAAAAACAAATCTGCGTTAAAATACCACATCTAATAGTGATATTTAATGGTGTCAGAATATTTTCAAAATGCTCCTGACTCCTCAGCAGATTTCCCCCAGTGATCACAAAATCTCTAACAGATGCATCTTTTTAGGATTTCCAAAAACCTACATTTTATGAAATGCAGGCTCATCCTCAGTTATCCAGATTACCTTAGCATTTCTGAACTTAGACAGAAGGTGTAATTAAGCTTTACATTTAAGCAAATCCACAATGTTTCCCAATTAGTGCATATATCTTTACTTCAAATTAAGTATTGTTTTTGTTGAAGATTTGCTACAAAGGAGTCTACTCATCATTTGAAGTTTTCAGTGCTAGGAAATTTGAATAATTCAGTAAGTAATGTACATAATGTGCTTTGGAAGTTACTGTTAAAAATTGAATGATCTGATAACCTCAATTAAGACGAGTAAACTATATTACTTTGATACCAGGAGAGAAATGTCTCTCACCTCATTAAGCTGAGTACGGGAGTCCAGGGTTTTGTTTAGATATTCAATACTGGACCTTGTCATTAATGATGCCTCATTATCTATTCCCTTCGTTGTCCTTATACCCAGTTTAATTATACCTATGCTATTCTTCTGCAAGAATTGTTTTTTGTCTCAAGGTAATAGTTTTTTATTAAATCATAGGCTTCTTTCAAATGTTCATTGAGATGCAACAAATGGCAAAGGTATGACCTTAATCAAATCACTCACTGATCCATTGTACACATCTGAATGACTCATTCCTAAACATGCTTATGTTAGGATTGACTGAAATGGAACTTTCATTATTTCCTGAGACAAATTAATACCAATTATTTTGAACCAAAATTGCAACACTTTTTTTTCAGATCTTGCTATAGGATGTAAAATGCCGAAGCATATTCTGGTGTAGCATTATTTTGGCTCCTCCAATTTTATGTAATTTCTATTAATTTTAGTTTGAAGCTGTTAACTCAGTTTCTCAAGTGAGGTGTGTCTAGTTAAAATTTAAATTGTCTGCTCCAAATAAAATGATCTAGCCACTATTAATGGAAGACTCTTCTAATTGGTGTTTTCTTGGGAATAGGGGACAACTTCTGTCTATTATGGAGCTGCATTCATTATTTACATAAAGCATTTAGGCTTTTTTCAACAATATGAACTTGCATTTCTATTGTGCTTTACTGTAGTAAAATAGTCCAGATGTAACTGGACAAAAATTGAAACCACTGCATGGAAACATTGGGACAGGTGATCAAAACTTGGTCAGAGAGATCAATTTTATGAACCATCTTAAAGGAGAAGTGAGTGATAGAGGCATTTGTGGAGGACATGAGGGCTTATAGCTTAAGATAAGGCACAGTTACTAATGGTGGTGTGAAGAAAGTAGGGAATGCACATAAGCCCAGACTTTGAGGCACCTAATGTTCTTGACAGTCTAGAGTAGATTTAGCACGCAAGTAGACTAAGGACTAGGGGAAGGATTTGTTCTGGGGATGTGTAAAATACGAAGAAAGAAGACAAAAGAATGGGGTCATATGACTGGATGATATGAAGTAGAAAAAAACAGGAGAGGAAGGATGAAGGAATAAAAAGGAGGAAAAGAGAAAGGGACCTGGAAGCTAATGGGCATAGGTTTGGTGTCACTGTCAAAACTCACACCTGACTTGTAATAGAGAAACTGAAAAACATATTACTCTTGTTTTTAGGTTTTAGAACAGAATGTATTACTTCTGCGTCGTCCACGTTTCATTTTATTGCTCCATATGTTCTGTGTTTACATCAGTCAGAGATTGAGGTGCAAATGAAGATTCAACAGTAACTGTAACAGCCAATTAGGTTTTCTGTGCAGATGAAGATTTTAAATTAGCAGCCTATGGTATGAATGACTGACTACTAAGCAAAACTGCCCAAGTATACAGAGACAAGTCTCAGTGGATATGGATTTTGGAATCAAACTCCTTAGCTTCCTCTGGACAATTATAAATTGGGAATCAGATTTTGCTGTGTCAGATCTCAGAAATTCCCCACAATTGGAGGTGCTCACTGTCTCCATATTGGCTGCAAAATTGAAGAAAACTAAGTTAAAATATCATGACATCATCTTTGGACTTTTCAAGGCAAGACTGTAAGCTCTTGCACAAGCACCCTCGGAAGAAGAGTTCTGGAAAACTTCTCTATTTCCCCCCCATTCTTGGAACACATGCTTGGACCTAATGATTATCTTTTAGACTTGGTATTCAAATAACATGAATAGATCAAGATGTGACTATTATACATTCCCTTCAGTTACACATTGTGTTGGAAGGTGACCTGCCATTAGAAATAGGAATATGAAATATGGCAGGAAGAAAGGGCGTTCCAGGAGAGGAAAATTCCAGCTCATCCTGGAGACATTGGACATTGACATGCCATCAAGAAGCACTGTTTTCAAATTCTATTGCAACAATGGGATATTATCATTTGAGTGATGATAACATATTAAATATGTCTGGCAATTATTTGTTGTCCTATTGGGCTCAACAGTAGTGCAACAGGTTAGAAATGTCCTGTTCAGCTCTATACAAGGATTCAGTCCAGATTGAGAACCTCATTATTTTCCCAATTTTTAACTGTTATCTTATTGAGGTGCCAGACGGACCTCATACACTTCAATGTACTCATGCTGCTGTTAGGATATGCTAATTTAGAAGCCATTAGCTGACCCACTATGCTATTGTCTGTAATAATAGGCATGTTGTCTATTGAAACTGAGCCCTGTTTTCCCCATCCTTTACAACTGATTCCTGACTTTGTCAAGCAATGGCTGGAATAGATAGAGTTGCGATATGGGTCTTGAGTTTGGTCATTTGTTGTGGTGCAACAAGTACATTAAAAAAATCTTTAGCAGGTTTCCCACAGAGAAATAGTTTCTCCTTCCCACTATGATGTAGTCTGTACTGTTAGTCTGTACTGTTTATACTGGAGACTGCCAACAATTAACGAATGAGTCACAATGCTTCCGTAACCACGTGTTTGTGTATAATGGTTCTTGTCATCCATTTGCACAAATTGTTCAGATGTATTCAACAAGAGGAATTATTTTAAGATCTGCTTCAAATGTAGATTGGAAATTATGATGAATTCAGAGAAAGGAGATTGCAAATTGCTGATTTCAGGTGATATGAAATGGCATATAAGAGGGATTTAAACTCTGTATTTTCCACCATAGTACTGAAACTACTTGGAAGGCCTTCCAAATCTTCATATAACTATTTGTATGTGGAGAACAATGTTATTTTCACAGCTTAGACCGTGTAACTCTCAACCCTGGTTTCCCAATCAGACTGGAGAGCGGGCCTCATTTTTCAGCAAGCTTTCCTGTGCCAAGTTTGCCCTGCTCTTGATCATTCAGTTTGGGTGATTCACCACAAATAGATCCTTGTAAGTCCTTTCTAAAAATCAATCGCCAAGAGTAATGCAAGATATGACCGTGTCTTCTCAGAAAGATTGTTCTGATGTGAGGTATCTTTCTCTAGAGGTTCTTGTCTCTGCTTGATCTGAAGAAGAGAATGGGAATGAATGGTAACTTGGTACAGACTGACTGCATCATTGCAGATGGTAGATTTCATGATGCTGTAGGACTGGCTGTTTCTCAGAGGTATGAGAAATAACCAGACATCCTGTTCACAAATACTCAAACTTGCAACCTCCAATTTAGTCTGTCCTCGAGGGCACTGAGCTTCACTGGTCTTGAGCCTCTCGCATTAAGTACCATTATCATCTGCAGCAAAAAAAATCATTTATTTGTTTTGAGTTTGCCTATTCATAAAAGTTCTGATGTATTTGTATTACAATAATTTTGTTTTCAGTACTGTTCAACAAGTTTTTATCACTGAAATATTTTCTGTCCAGAGGAATTTCATTTGTCACCTGCAGCATGTTGAATAAAATTGGTAATTTTGATAGTACAATGTTAATAAATTAGTTTCTGTTGTCAAGTTCTTTATCATTGCTACAATTGGTTTGGCAATTCAGCATATTTTTATTTGGATTTTATCTTTCAGAGTCTTCCTCCGAGCAATAAATCAGTATGCAGATATACTGAACAAGAAATTTCTTGATCAGACAAATTTCGAGCTACAGGTGAGAGCAGTAAAAGCAACATTAGGATATTTGTGTCATAGCAATAACAGTTGATTAGTTGGAAGTATGTTTCTGTTTGCGAATTATGTGTTTGTAAAATAATAAAAAGTTGCAAGCGATGTGTCATTATGAATGTCTCTTTAAATGGAGCTTGTAGGGAAAGAGGAGAGAATATAAAGACAAGTGAGTTCTCAATGCAGGAAGATTAAGTGAATTTATTATAAACTTGTGAAATAAAACATAGACTGGGACTGTCATAGTGTTAAGGGCTTGGATGGGAAAGAATTTTTTTTAGGTGTTACAAGAAAACTTTCTTATTCAGCATATGGATGTACCTACTAAAGGAGGAGCAATACTTGACCTGTTGGGAAATAAGGCAGGGCAAGTGACTGAGGTGTCTGTAAAGGAGCACTTTTGGGCAAGTGATCATAATTCTACTAGTTTTAAAATAGTTATGCAGTAGGATAGAACTGATCAAAATGTTAAGACTGTAAATTGGAGTAAGGCCAATTTTGATAGTATTAGACAGGAAATTTCAAAAGTTGATGGGGGAGGCTATTCAGAGAGAAAGGGGGTGGTTGGAAAGTGGGAGGCCTTTAAAAATAGGATAATGAGAGTTCATAGATAGTATGTTTGTGTGAAGGGCAAGGTTGGTACTTGTAGGGAAGGCTGGATGACTAGAGAAATAGTGGCTGTGGTCAAGAAAAAGAAGGAAACATACATCAAGCGTAGACTGGTGGGATCAAGTGAACCCCCAGAGGAATACAAGGTCAATAGGAGTATACTTAAGAAGGAAATTAGGAGGGCAAAAAGGGGGCATGAGATAGCTATGGCAAACAGGATTAAGGAGAATCCAAAGAGATTCTCTAAGTACTTCAAGGGCAAAAGAGTAACTAGGGAGAGAATAGGGCCCCTTAACGATCAACATGGCTATCTATGTGTGGAACCACAAGGGATGGGTGAGATATTAAATGAATATTTTGCGTTAGTATTTACTGTGGAAAAGGACATGGAAGCGAGGGAACTCCGGGAAATAAATAGTGATGTCTCAAAGAGTTCATATTACAAAAGAGGTGGTGCTGGAAGTCTTAAAACGCATAAAAGTAGATAAATTCACATGACCTGATCAGCTATTTTGCAGAGCTTCGTGGAAAGCAAGGGAAGAGAATTCTGGGACCCTTGCTGCAATATTTGTATCAATGACAGTCATGGGTAAGGTGACAAAAGACCGGAGGTTGGCTAATGTTGTGCCATTATTTAAGAAAGGCTGTAAGGAAAAGCCAGAGAACTATAGACCAGTGAGTCTTATGTCAGTGACGAGTAAATTGTTGGAGGGCATTCTAAAGGACAGAATTTACATGCATTTGGAAAAGCAAGGACTGATTAGGGATAGTCGACATGTCTTTGTGCATGGGAAATCTTGTCTCACTAACTTAATTGAGTTTTTTTGAAGAGGTAATAAAGAAGTTTGATGAAGACAGAGTGGTAGACATTGTCTATATGGACTTTAGCAAAATGTTCTGCATGGTGTAGTGGTTAGTAAGTTTAGATTACATGGGATCCAGGGGAACTAGTCAATTGGAAACAAAATTGGCTTGAAGATTGGAGACAGGAGGTGATGGTAGAGAGTTTTGGACTGGAGGTCTGTGACCACAAGGATCGGTGCTGGGTCCATTGCTTTTCGTCATTTTTATCAATGATTTGGCTGTGAATATAGGAGGTGTGGTTAGTACGTTTGCAGAAGCTACCAAAATAAGTGGTATAGTGGGCAGTGAACAAGATTATCTCAGAGTACAACAGGACCCTGATCAGATGGGCCAAGGAGTGGCAGATAGAATTTAATTTAGATAAATGTGAGGTGTTGCATTTTGGTAACGCAAGCCAGGGCAGGACTTATGCAGTTACTAGTACGGCTTCGGGGAGTGTTGCCAAACAAAGACACCTATGGGTGTAGGTGCATAGTTCCTTCAAAGTGGAGTCACAAGTAGACTGGGTGGTAAAGATGCTGTTTGGCATGCTTGACTTCATTGGTCAGAACATTGAATATAAGAGTTGAGACATCATGTTGTGGGTGTACAAGACATTGGTGAAGCCACTGTTACAATACAGTGTACAATTCTGGTCACCCTTCAATTGGAAGAATGTTGGTAAACTTGAGAGGGTGCAGAAATGATTTACAAGGATGTTTTTGGGGCTGGAAGCTTTGAGGTTTTGGGAGAGGCTGAATAGGGATGGGGCTCTTTCCCTAGAGCATCGGAGACTGAGGGGTGACCTTAAAGAAGTTTAAAAAATTATGAGGGTCAAGGATAGGATGAATAGCCAAAGCCTTTTTCCTAGGGTTGGGTGAGCCTAAAACTAGGGCATAGGTTTAAGGGTGAGAAGGGAAAAGTTTAAAAAGGACCTGAGAGACAACATTTTCATGCAGAAAGTGGCGCGTGTATGGAACGAGGTGCCAAAGAAAGTGGTAGAGGCAGATACAGTTACAACACTTAAAAGGCTCCTGGATGGATGTTTGATTAGGAAGGGTAATGGGGCTAGGTCAGATTGAGATTTCTGGTTGGTGCAGACAAGTTGGAACAAAGGATCAATTTCCGTGCTGTATGACTCTGTTTCAAAGCACTTTCACAATAATTAACTTTTAAGAGCAGGCTGTTATTATCTCACTAAACAGACTCAATTATTTGCATCATTAGCTTCCAATAGATAACACTGAGGTTAAATTTATCTGTGAATCTGTGTTTGGTAGTAAAGTCCTCTAACTTGTCCCAGACAGCCATCTAATTGTTCATAGTCTTGAGAACGCTTGCCATTGCTGCAAGCTCTTCTTACTGGCCTTCTGATTTGGACACCGTCCAGCTTTATTTTAAAATTAGCAATTAATATAAGAGAATGGATTCAGTTTTGCTGTTGAACCAGGCCAAGGAGCGGGGAATAAAGAGGCACCTTTCTTGAGACAGCAGAGTGGTTGTATGAAGTATTCGGTAACAGCACTAAATATAGCTACCAAGATAAAAGTAGAGAGACTGAAAATGAAAAAAATCTTTGTCTGTTTTAGAACTAGTTTGGTTATACTAGCCACCAGGTAAAATGTGAAAATTGCATTGAGATCTGTGCTCCTGCTGTATATGATGAATTATTGACCAAAATATTGGAAGAACCTATCTTGAGAAGTTTACAGAATCTATATACGTGAGGCATTGAGTAACAGCACTGTTAAGAGATTCAGGAGGTGAAGGTTTGTTTGTGCCTTTTGAAACTTGAAATATTAAAAGTCTGTCTGAAGCACAACAACTGGCAAAGTGAAGTTTTAGATTAACATTTAATCACTACAATGGCCCTTGAATAATGCAAAACTCCTTCAATATTGCAATAGATGTCATCTGAGGTACGATGTTCAAACTGAATCTTTTGGTGCTAAAGTGAAAATGGTAGCAGCTCAGACAAATTACAATAGTGTTACAAATTGTATTACAATAGTCACTTTTACTAACCAAAACAGAAATTGTTAGTAAAACTGAGCAGGTGTGGCAGTAGCTGTGGAGAGAAAGCAGAGTCAATGTATCAGCTCCAGTGACCCTTCTTGAGAACTTAGAACTTCAGAACTTACCAGAACAGTTTTGCTGAGTTTCTCCACTAATTTCTCTTTGTGTTTCTGAATTTCAGCATCCATAATTCCTCAGTTTATCAGTCACTTCCAACAGTAACCTAGAGTCATAGAGGTATACAGCACGGAAACAGGCCCTTTGGCCCAAATCATCCATGCCGACCAGATTTCCTAAACTGAATTAGTCCCATTTGCCTGTGTCTGGCCCATGTCCCTTTGAAACCTTTCCTATCCACGTACCTGTCCAAATGTCTTTTAAATGTTGTAATTAATCTTGGAAAAAGTAGCTATAGCTATATTATTAGATGCTATAATATGAATTTGTCCATTTACTGGTCGCAGACACAGAAGATTTGAAATACTATCTTAATTCTAGCACAATGAAAGCCTGTGGGTCAAATAAATCCTCACACAAAATAATTTCCATGTGTCAGTCCAGGCACTGTTATAAATGCATGTGTTTGTTCATTACTCTGAATCAGTTCTATAAACTACTTTGTCACAGTCTGATAAATGTTTATTTTATCATTTTGTAAATCCTTGGAGATCACGAGAAAACTAATGACATGTAACGTCAGTTAAAAATGCAATGATGAATGTTTCATTTCAGATCCATGGCTTAAAATCTTACTATGCATTGGTCATATATATGTGAGAATCAGTTGGGAGGAACTAGGGTACATTTGCACAGCAGTAGCCTTTTGTAAGGAAACTAGGGAAGTAATTGAGAAAAAACAAACACAAATGCTTTTCAATGAAAAATACATATCTGTGGATAGAACCTCTGTCACAAGGAGTTCAGCTGCAGATATGCCATGCATCCAGTAGTGAATTGCAGTTTGAGTTAGTAGTTATGCATGATCATATGGCTTTCTTCACGGAAACTGCTAGACCTTCTAGCATGTTTTCATTGTGCAGACACCCACTTCCACTCGATTTGTCTAATGGGTGTGAGTGAGGGAGCTTGGAGTCGTTCTTGGATCTTAGAAAGAAGGAAAAAGAAGAAAGGCAAAGGTTCCATTTCTTCGTGTGTTTCATGTTCTCAGGACATGTAAAGTACTTCACGTTTGTCAAATTACCTTTCAAATCTAGTCAATATCGCTTGACAAACAAACACGACAACCTGTCTAGCACAGTAAAGTTACATAGATACAAATGAGTTAAATGACCAGTAATTCAATGGTTGATTGAAGTTTTGCTTGTGTGACCTTCTCAATATATTCATACTTCCAATAATGCTTTTTATAATAGAGTCAATGGGTGGAAATTGCCAACTACTTCTCCACTGCGCAGCTGCAACCTCTTAATGCAGTCTGTCACATTTTCAAAATATGTATTGAGATTTTGGAGGACTGAAGAGACTGTGCTACATACCACATTTGTATAATTAAATAAA